GAAATCCTTATCTATTTCAATTTCCTCATCATCTAGACTGAATTTCTGTAACTCCTCTGTAGTCATTATCTTTGTTTTCTTAATGTTCAACAGTAAGCCTGCCTTGGTACTTTCCTATCTGACTTTCTTCAGTTATTGTTTCAAGACTGCTAGTAGTACGGTGTCATCAGCATATCTTAGATTGTTGATATTCTTTCCTCTGATCTCCATTCTTTCATCCTCCATGTCTAAACCTACTCAGCATATGACATTTTCAGCAAAAAAGTTGAATAGATAAGGTGACAGAATACAACCTTGTCTGATCCACTTTCTGATTGAGAACCATTCTGTTTCTCCATATTCTGTTTTGACGGTAGCTTCCTGCCCTGAGTACAGGTTGCGCATCAGGACAATCAAATGTAATGGTACACCCATTTCTTTAAGATCAATTACAGCACTATATTCCATTCAAACTGCCATAACAAGAGCCTGTGGAATCCTAGGAGTTGTAGTTTGTTGAGGCACATGAGTTCTCCAGTTGAGAATTCTAAGTGCTCTTCTCTGAATTGCAAATCCCAGGTTTCCATAGGGTGGAACCATAGCATTAAAGTGGAATATAGCACTATAATAATGTAGTGTGAATGATCCCCAGATGTTGCTGAACTGCATTCCCCAGCATTCATCACCATCAGCTCCATTAGACTATGGCTGCTGGGACTTACATTTCAACAGTTGTTGTGGCTGGGTGCCTTCAAGCTGATGCCAACATATGCTGCCCTATCATAGAGTTTTCTTGGCAAGATTTCTTCAGATAAGGTTTGCCACCGTTTTTCTCTTAGGAGTGTGACTTGACCAAGTTGGTGCTTAACCACTGTGTTAACCAGGGATTTGAACCCTAGTCTCCCAGAGTTCTAGTCCAATACTCTAACCACTATACCATGAGGACCTCACTATTCTCACTCTTCCTTGAGAGACCATTTTCCCTTCCCACCTTCAGCCTAAAGCAGTTCAGATGGTGAATAGGTGCCTCATTTTATTACACCAATACCAAAAGCACAGAAGTCTGGGTCCCATTCACACTGCACAATTACAGTGCTATGATTCTACTTTAGCAGTTTTTGAAAAGGTAACCAAGAATTTGGACAATAAATTATCTCCATCTTTATGAGACCTTCAGATAGAGTTAAATCATGAAAATTTAGCATAGCCCTAATACATTTGGATTTTGTGGCTTACCTATCAATGCTTGATTACTCAAAGCATTCTCCTAAGTCAGTTTTTCTTTTGTCTCTCCCATTTTTTTCTCCTTAGTCAGTTGCTAAATAATTTCTTAATGCATGAAACACTTTCATGCATTAAGAAATTATTTAGCAACTGACTTTAAGGGGGAAAAAATATTAGGAGCCACTCATTCATTAAGAGTTGCTTCTTACACAATATATCTACTTTTAATTGAACACCAGCATGGTGCATTGATATGCAGTGTATAGTCATTGTTTTGAAGTGTCTGCAGATGGAGCTATTGCTTTGCTTCAAGGATGGTTCCAGTTATAGGGAGGGGAATCATACTATCACTCTCAAATGGTTCAGAAATATAAAAGAAACAGTGGCCCCAGTGTTACCCATATGGCTATTCTACTCCTAGCTGCTGCTGTTTTCCAGAGGCTAGTGTGCAAAACAAAACTTCACTGCTTCTTATGCCAAGTCCTGAGCATCTTGGCCACATCAGTTTTCCTTGCAATGGGGCTGCAGCTTCCGGTGTCCTCACTCTCCTGCCCTATTGCTGCATCCCACCTGCACCACTATTGCACCTGCACCTATAAAGCTGCCCTGGGCAAGAACGATGCCCTAGTCCTCAAAACCTGTAGGGAAACACCAAGAGCAAAGAGAAAAGGAATTTAATGGATCCATCTTCAGGCCTTCTCCCACTTACCCCTTGCTTTGGAGAAGCAGGATTACAGACCTGCAGGTTCTGTTTCTTCCCATTGGCCAGGAAAGCTTCTTAAAAGTAGAGAAGTGGTTTCTTTCTGGGAGAGCAGCAACCTATGATTCTTTAGCGACTTTATAACATAAGCAGCTGCTGACCCACATCCACACTGTAAAGAGCTTGGTACTTTGAGCTGCCTGTTTGGCTCTACTGTGAGGACTTTCTGGAAGCTGCCTTAGAGATCACCACAGCACCAGGCTTTGGGGGACATTGACAGTCTTTTTTTGCAGGCTGAGAAAGAAAGAAGGAAGACTTCTTCTGGTGATTCTTGATTCTCTGTGGATGTCTGTCCTGAACTTAGCTCTGAAAAGTTTTCATCCACTCCTTCCTGAAACTAGCTCCCCATCACTGACACAAGGAGAAACCCTACTTGGATACCCCAAAAGGAGAGGCACAACTCAGACACAGGTATGGGTCATGATGCAGAGTATAATTTTGCTGTTGGAGTGCTATTTAAATGTTGCACATTTGTAAGCAAGACATATAAATTGTCTTGAAGTATAGAAAGTTCTGTTTTGAGATTGCAACTCCCAGAATCCTCTAACCAGTGTGGCTGTGGGCATGGTTGGGCTGAGGGATACTTGGAGGTGCAATCCAAAAAGAGAGAGATAACTTTTCCAAGTTTGATGCAGGCAAAATATGGATCTTGTAGTACTGGGGGGATGCTTGTTGAGAACCAGCATGGTGTAGTGGTTTGAGCATTGAACTATGACTCTGGAGAGCAGGGTTCAAATCCCTGCTTGGCTATGGAAATCCACTGGCTGACCTTGTGCAAGTCCATGTCCACAGTCTCAGAAGAAGGGAAAGGCAAAGGCAAACACCCTCTGAACAAATCTTGCCAAGAAAACCCCATGAGAGGTTCACCTTAGAAGGGTCATAAGCTGGAAATGACCTGAAGGCACACAACAAGTAGCTTGGTGCAGCAGCCAAAGTGTGTCAGTAGACTGGATGTGCTCTGCTGTGCCTTCTTCTGTATGACTCAGGAATTCAATGGGGAAAGAGCCTGATATTTGAGTTTTCATTTGAAGTTTGAGTGTACCATTCACACCTATTTTCTGGATTTGTATACTAAGTAGTGGTGTCTGGGCTGGATCTAAAACTGGACTGGTGTGTGTTTGCACATTAGGCTTATTGATTCATGGACCTGATTCATGGACCCCCATTTTCTCAGAACAGAGCTTGGAAAATTACTTTTAAAAAGTAATTTATTTCCATTACTCATTACAGTATTTGAGAAGTTAACCTTTGGGTTTATTCATTGTTATTGTTGTGTGCCTTCAAGTCATTTCAAACTTATGGCAACCCTAAGTTGAACTTATCATGGAGTTTTCTTGGTAACATTTGTTCAGAGGAGGTTTGCTGTTACCTTCCCTTGAGGCTCAGAGCATGTGACATGCCCAAGGTCAGCCAGTGGGTTTCCACAGCTGAGCTGGGACTCGAACCCTAGTCTCCAAATCATAGGACGTTATCACACGGGGAGCTCCGAACAGAAGCCGGCTTTAA